GTTAATCGGTAAATTATACGTTTGCTGGGCGCGGCGCTGTGCAAAGGGCAATGTAGCAGCACAATTGAGAGCAGCGCTAATGCGCGCAAACAGCTAGTGTTGGCCATTTATTGAGTTTCTTTAACAAAACACTCTACAATTATTTTATGTTAATACGGTCGCAGTTAATTTGAAACTAGTAGCTGGCAAAATGAATTGCTTTGCGCTAGCGATAGCTTTGCAGTAAAACAAAGGTTTCTATCTGGTCGCTTATCTGGCAGCTTCAGGATTTATGTCAAGTTAAATATTTCTATGGAATAGCTACTGCTCTTGGTTGCTTATACTTATTTTTATGCAAAATCTAGTTAAAACGCTAGATAAGATCTGTGGCTGATAACTGTGTTTACTCATATATGTATGAGCGCTAAGGTAAATATGTCTCTTTACGTGCCTTGCAGCAGCACCAAATGGTATTTAAGTAGGGGAGCAAATGTTTGAACTTTTGACAGAAATCAACAGCCATACAAATTTTCGCTTCACAGTTTAACGCTTTTTTGAAGAAAGCATATGAAGATAAGTTACAAAATTTATCTTTGCGAATGGAGAGTACAAACAAAATTAAGAGAATATAGGGTGCTATATTTTTCGAGTTTGAGCGAAACTGCTGAATCGAACGAAACTAAACTAAAAACTATTTAATTTTAGGCGACTGACTCAGTTCGATAGTACGGTCCCATAGAAGTTGGGCTGTGGTCTGGTATTAGACTAATGAGCTCAAACAGAGTAATTCTGGCTAGTAAGATGGCAAATAATGTTTCGTAAGATAAAAGACAGTTGACAAGAAAAGTAGTAGAAAGACTTTTATTATTCTATTACAAACATCTTAGAAGAAAAGTTCTTTTCTACACCACTCGTGGTGAAAAGCTATTTTGAGAGAAAGCACTTGTATATCATTTAGCTCAACAGTCGCCGAGTGAGCAAAGCACGGGCGTGCCTTTCGAGAGATCCGAGTTCAAGTCTACGGGCAGCGGATTTTTTTTCTTTTTTTAAGTTAATTTTGTTTCCTTTTTAATTTAATATTCTTTTATAAGTTTTAGATTTATTGTTTTAAAAAGAAAAAATACATATTTTTTAATTTCGTATAATTTTTAAAAATTTATTTTATGCATTTTTTTGTTTTTACTTTTATTTTTTTTACTTAATCTAACTTTCTTTTAATGTTTAGATTTTATTGTTTTTAAATTATTATTTTTTAGTTTAATTTTCTTTTGTTGCAAAATTTTATTGCTCAAAAAAGAAAAAAAAATGTTTTTTTATTTTATTTAGAGACTTATTTTATTTATTTTTCTTTTTTTTTAATTTAGTTTTCTTACTAATTTCATTTTTTTCATTGAAATCTTTTTAATTTAATTTTCTTATTCTTTTTCGCATTTATTTAATTTTATTTTCTTTTAATTTTTAGATATTTTATTTTAATTTAAAAAAATTTTTTAATTTTGTTTGATTTACAAGTTGGTACCGTTTTCCTCTTCTTTGATTTAATTTTTTTCTTTTTCTAATTTAATTTTTAGATTTTGTTGTCCATCAACCCTAAAAATTTTAAATAAATCAAACACATGAAGTGTGAACCCCGTCCATTTTGGTATGGAACGCCCCATATAAATATAGTCATATCCATCATGTCGAACGTGACCATCGTACACATTCAAACTCAAAAGAAATGTCTAAAATGTTTTTTTTTTTGACAAAGCTCGTCTCATTTTTGTTTTGGAAATACGCATTTTTGGCGTTACTTTTTTCATTTCGTTTGTTCTCCTCAGTCCAAAACAAAATATATTCTAAGGTTGCCTTTTGTTTTTCGAATATTTCGTTTTAAAGTCGTAAAAACAAATAGTGCATTTTTTATTTTGTATGAAGTAAAATTATTTCAAACAAAATTTATTACGATTTCTTTTAAAAACTTGCGTTTTACCCATAGCATATTCTCAGTGCAATTAAATTCGCAGAGAATTTCCATACATTTTGAGATGGCATTTGACATTTTACAAAATGTTGATGCCATATTGGGAACATATTTCTCGCTAGGCACGAATAAAAGACGCGCAACTGTTTTGACGGCGAAAAAGGACACGTGAAAAAAATACGAAAAAGACACGTGAAAACAAATACGGCGAAGAAAGACGCGTAAATATAGATTGACTCCTGTGCACGGTCTATTTTTTCAGCATCATTCCTCAAATACTCTTTCGGGGAATCGGTAACTGTAACACCCGCAAACATAGTTTACAGCGAAAATAAGTTTACGGGACTTCCTTCACCGTCAAATAGTTTAACGTGTCTTTCTTCGCCGTCAACTGCGTTTAAAGTTTTTCTTTGCCAAAATTTTTTATGCCTCGTTTTCGCGGTCAACCTTTGAGCTCGCGGCTTTATTCGTGCCTAGTGACGATATGTACCAATTAAAATATTTTACGCTCTCATTTAATAGGTAAAGAAGAAGCATTACGGAAAAACTTGTCCGAGTATTTAAAACAAACTAAAATTCATTATTAAATTTTCATTTTAAATTTAATAAAACTATGCAAAATGTTTGCACTAAGTTCTACTTGTTGGCAAGTTGTGCAACCGGTGACCTGCTTATAAAAGTACATAGGCACATCCAAACAGACTCATATAAGTATGTATATATGCATGCATAGACATGCATACGAACAAACCCAGCGACATATTTACCCAGCACGGAAAGAAACTAGTTTGAATATTGATGTTCAACCAGCTTTTTACTCACCACAACTAATTGAAAATCTGACTTTCTTCCTTGGAACGAGCTATTGACTTTAACATGACGATGTCTTAGCAAGCAGTCAATTATCCAACACTGCATTTGATTTCGACTACTTTAAAATGCATTTGGCTTCAAGCACTTCAAAGCCAGTATATTTCTTTTTGCACAAGTCTTTTCAACGAATTTAAAACAACTTTGTACTAAATGCTGATATAGTTAATTGCCCAAAGTTAGATGATTTTTCAACTAATATTGAATTGGTTTATCTCAAAGACGCTGCTGCATGATTATACATCAATTTGAAGTTAGTTGCTACATAACCAGAAATAAATTACTTGTTCTGAACTAATTGGTTGAGCTATGCCGTACTGGGTATGAACTCATTTTATTTTTATGCAAACACGCATACATTCACATTGAAAATTCAAGCAATGCATAAATACGTTACTCATACGCCATAGAGCACGAGTGCTTCTGTTACCTCACATACATAAATAGTAGGCTACGCATACACATACGCTAGGCATGCACAAACACACATATGTACATACATATGCCTATGAATACACTTAATAAATAGTAAAATGAAATGTATGCCAATGCAAGTGAAGTGCAGTGTGAAAAGTAAAGTCAAATGTCATATCAAATATACATAATTTGAACGAAATGAGCTCACTAAATTCCACATGGATCCTGGAAGGGAGCAGAGCGTGAATAACTAGGAGGCTGGCTGGCTGCCTTTGGTGTGAGTGGAATGCATGGATTCATAGCTAAAGTAATTGAAATTAGCATTTGCTGGCAACAGAGTTGCTATAAGTTTAAGCCATTCTAGCTGGCTGGCTGACTGACTGAGTGACTTTTGACTTTTGTCAACAGAATTTTCATCGAGCATTTGCAGCCTTATTTAATAACGTAAAATTTTGCTGGTCGCTTTCCAATGCTGGCGCAAAAAAAAAACCAAAACCACGACAATTTAATAAACATTATATTTAGTATGTATGTGTATGTACATAAGTACATACATATGTATGAATATAGTATTGCATGAGCGAATATACAACGTTTTGCGCCAAGTCGCTTTGTATCTAGCAATCAAATTCATAAGCTTTAGCGGCAGTAATCACATTGGATGTGAGCCAGCGAAAACGTTTTTTATTTTTTTCACTTTTACCTCATTTGATGAATTTTTAATAGCATACTTATGTATGTAAAATAGTACAAAACAAGTAATTTTTAAGGAAAAAACAAAACCGACTTCAATCTATATATATAAAAATGGTGTGAAAAATGTATAGTAATTCATCAATTGAGAACGGTTGGGCCGATTTGGCTAAATTTTTTTTTCAGTTGTTTGTAATTACCAGGAGAAGGTTTTTACGAAAGAAAATTTTGGGAAAACCCTCCGGTGGACCAGGGACCGATCTATTCGAAAAAATCTTATTATGGTCCGATTTGCTTAAAATTTGGTACGTAGGTAGCGTTTTGCCTATGTTAGCATATAGGATCCTTTTTTTCCGGGAAGTGGACCAGGGACTGATCTATTCGAAAAAATCGTAGTTATGGTCCGATTTGCTTAAAATTTGGTACCTAGGTAGCTTTTTGCCCAGATTAGCATACAGGATATTTTTTTTCCGGGAAGTGGACCAGGGACCGATCTATTCGAA